ATCTGCCTGAGGAAGCGGAGGCGCACCTCATCAACGAGGATACCTGTAGAATGAACATTTGTATACCTAACCCTGAATTGTACCCCAAAATTTTAAAATAAAAAAATTAAAAGTTAAAAAAAAAAAGAAATTGAGGTTTTGCTTCCAGAATCTATCCTGTTCCATTGGTCTGTATACCTGTTCTTGTACCAACACCAGGCTATTTTGATTATTGTAGCCTTATAATAAAGTTTAAAGTCCAGTAGTGTAATACCACCCTTTGTTTCTTTTGCTGATGATTGTTTTTTCTATTTGTGGTCATTTATGTTTCTATATGATTTTCTGTGTTGTTTCCAGGTCTGAGAAGAATTATGTTGGTAATTTAATCAGTATTGTATTGAATCTATAGATTGCCTTGAGTAGGATGGATATCTTAACAACGTTGATTCTTCAGTCCATGAATATGGAATATTTTTTGAATTGTTTGTGTCATCTTTGATTTCTTTGAGCAATATTTTGTCATTTTTGTTGCGAAGGTCTTTCAAGAGTCTGGTTTGGAAGATGCCAAGGTATTTTATTTTTTATTTTTCGGCTATTGTGAATGGGATTGTGCTTTTTATTTGATTCCCTGGCTGTTGTTGGTGTATAAAGATGCAACTGTCTTTTGCATGTTGATTTTGTACCTTGAGTCTTTGCCAAAGTCCTTTATCAGTGCCAGGAATTTTTTGACAGATTCTCTTGGGTTTTCAAGGTATAGGATCATAGCGTCAGCAAAGAGGGATAGCTTAACTTCCTCCTTTCCTGTTTCGATACCCTTGATTTCCTTCTCTTGTCTTATTGCTCTGGCTAGGACTTTCAACACTATGTTGAACAGGAGGGATGAGAATGGGTAGCCTTGTTTTATTCTGGTTTTCAGGGAAATGTTTCCAGTTTCTGTCTGTTTACCAATATGTTGACTGTGGGTTTATCTTAGGTGCTCTTACTATTTTGAGGTATATTCCCGCTTACCTAGGTGTTTGAGGGTTTTTATCAAGAAGGGATGCTGGATTTTATCAAAAGCTTTTTCTGCATCTAATGAGATATTCATGTAATTCTTGTTTTTACATCTGTTGATATATTGAATTGCATTTATGGTCTTGCAGATGTTGAACCAGCCCTGCATCCCAAGGATGAAACCTACTTGGTCATGGTGGATGATTTTTGAGATGCGTTGTTGGATCTGATTTGCTAGAATCTTGTTGAGAATTTTTGCATCTGTGTTCATCAGAGATATTGGCTTGTAGGTCTATTTCTTAGTTGTATCTTTACCTGGTTTGGGTATCAGTGTGATGTTAGTTTCATAATATGATTTGGGGAGAGCTCCGTCTTCCTCTATTGCCTGGAATACTTTCAGTAATGTTGGTATCAGCTTCTCCTTATATGTTTTGTGGAATTCCTCCGGTAAGCCATCTAGGCCAAAGTTTTTTCTTTTTTTTTTTTTTTTGTAGGTAGTTTTGTTTTGTTTTAATGATGGAGTCAATTTCCTGGTTGTTATTGGTCTATTTAGGGTCTCAATTTCTTCTGGTTTCAACCTTGGGAGGTTGAATGATGTCAGAAAGTTCTCCATTTCATTGAGGTTTTTGATTTTGTTTCCATTTAGGTGTGCATAGTAATTAGTCTCTGATAATATTTTGTATTCTTCAGGGTCAGTTGTAACTTGATCTTTTGCATTTCTGACTGTGTTTATTTAAACTTTTCCTCTCTTTTTCTTGGTCAATCTGGCAAGGGGTTCATTAAGATGTAAATATTCTTATTGCCAATCTAAATTTTAAATTTAATCTAACCCCTTATGCTTACATTTTCTGTACTGTAAAAAGTTTCCTCACCTTGAATTAGGCTTCTTGGTGTTTCTCTGATTGACATAGAGTAGGTTCCTTGCAAGAGAGTAACTTTTGAAGGAATTTTCAATAAATAAAGAGAATCTTTGTAATGAATATGAACTGAATGGAATTTTATTTCAAGACGCTTTGGAGAAAATTTGTTGTAGTCATGACAACATCTCAAAAGCAGGGGTTTGTTCCAGGGCTGGAGTTTTATAAGTAGATATTGTATAACATTTATTAGCAGTAGGTGATTATTTTGTTTGTTTGTTTTAATCTCAGGTTCTTAGAATGTTCTCACTTTTTTTTAAAGAAAAGCTTATTCATTGTATAATAGCTTTGCCATTATTCACAGCATGATTGCCTTATCATTGCCTAGACTTTAGCTCCCATGACCTAAAATAGTCACCTTAGGCTGAATATAAAATGTGGGTTTTTTTCTAATGTGGGTTTTTTCCCCCCATTTAGGTCCATTTTTCCAATCCACCCTTCCTTCAGAATCATCGCCTTGGCAGAACCCCCTGTTATTGGAAGCACAACACAGCAGTGGCTGGGACCAGAATTCTTAACCATGTTCTTTTTCCATTATATGAAACCACTTGTCAAAAGTGAAGAAATCCAAGTGATTAAGGAAATGGTAAGAGAGAGGCTAACTCTAGCCTGCTTTCTACAGCTGTTCTCTTTTTGAGATACTCTGATGCAAACTGCCAACACAATTAAATATTTTTAGCTTTTTCTTCCCATTTATTTTCAAATTTCCTTATATAGTAGCATAGGTCAGTGATTCTTTAACACTTAACTTTAACACTTAACTTTAACATTCTTCAGAATCATCTAGAGGGCTTGATATGTCACTGATTTCTGAGCTTCATCTCTGTAGTTTTAGAGTCAGTAGATCTGGGTATTTCCAACAAATTCTCAGGTTATGCTCATGCTGTCTGGGACCACACTTTGAGAACTACAGATGTAGGCTGTCTCTCCTCTTTCCTCATGTAGAAGCCGACTTGGAATTTGTTTTCATTTTATATTCAGCCAAAGGTGACTATTTTAAGTTTCCACTGTAAAAGGAGGCTGAATATATTATAGTTTCTTAAATTTGATAGAAAATACTAAGGATTCCTGGTCCCTCAGGACTGTAATGTATCCTGTATCCTGATTAGTCAGCTAGAAGCTGGTGGCTTCTAGTGTGTGTGTGTGATCTATTATTTCAGTGTAAGCCTTAATTAAGCATTGTGGTTAGCACTTTTGAATTTTCAGAACTATACTCTTTAATGTAGTAGCACTAGCCACATTAAATAAAATTTTTTAAAAGTCAGTTTCTTAATCATATTTCCAGTGCTCAGTAGCTACACGGGGGCTTTTGACTACCATATTAGATAGTATGCAGAAAATGTCCATCATCATAGAAAGTTTTATTGGATAATGCTGTTCTAGATCACTAATTATTAACTTTTTACATAAAAAAAGATGTTTGAAATACTGAATGAACGGATTAATGTTAGGTCTTGTGAGCATGGTGGTGGATAAGGGACTTTAGAATTCAAAAACTTGGCTCTAAATATCAAGTCCACTACTTACTAGCTTCTAATCTAGGGTAAATTACTCAGTCATAGTTTCTTCATCTCAAAATGGAGATAATACTACCTCTTACATCACAGAAGTGATTTAAAGAATAAATGAGATGAAATATATGTAGAACAGATCTTAGAATTTTTAAAAATTTCTGTTACTTAAATTACTATTGAAATCCTGAGCAATATGCTTTTGAAATTGTCATGTTGTCCCAGTCATTTTTCTAATATCTCTGTCTGATCTTTTAAAATTAAAATCTTAAATTTATGCCTAAATAAAAATTGCTTACAGCTTAATTAAATTAAAATTTGTTATAATTAAAAGCAATCTATATGTGTTGATTTTGCTGACATCATCACACTCCTCAAGTATGTGTTTTACAAGTTTTTGAAAAATGGACACCTTGAGTATCCATTCTTTACATAAGGGTACTGTCTACCACTTAGTAGACATATATACAAGATTACTATTAAAGAAAGGAATCTGGTTCCAGTAAGAAAATGCTTAAGTGAGTGTTTAAAATATCATCTTGGAGCTAACAAAACAGGAAATGATACTATTTGAAAAATTCTTTATGATACACAGCATGCCAGTTTCTAATTGAGTCAGAGGCTCCTTTCAGTTTTATCTTGATGATATAATTGTATATGGAAAAGAGTGGCTTGGTTTTTAGTTACCTGATTTTTAAAGAGGAAGCAGAGATTTCAGTGATTTCTGAAAATTTGAATAAGCAACTTGATCCATGAGTTAAACGTGTAACTGATAATCATAAACTGTTAGAAATGTACTTCTAATATTATTTGCTAAGTAGTTATAATTTATGAATGATTGATCAGATAACCCAATTTATTGTTTATTTGTTTTCTTAATTCTCTCATAATACAGGTCCCAGATATACCTCAAGAAGCTTTGAATAAGTTATTATCATTTACACACAAACTAAGGGAGACACAGGATCCAACAGTAAGTCTGGATTTTTTTTCACAGAATTTTCCATTGTTGACATGCTGCTGTTTTATTTTCTTCAAGTTTAATGCTTTAAAATCTATGTTTTAAGCTGATATTTTTATCCCTTATGTTATGCTTTGTCCTATACATATGTTTTACTTTGATTTCAGTGATTTTAACATGTTTTTCTCATGTTATGGAAAACAACTTAGTGTGCAGGGGGTTTTGTTCTCTTCTTTTTGTCTCTTGTGTTAAACAGTGTCATCTGTTCTTATGGCTTCAAGTACTACCTCCAAGTTAATGCCTATGTCTTTATCTTCCAACGTCTGTTTTCTGATTTGTTCTCATATTTCCATTCCAGTGTGGTGTGCTGAAAAGATAAAGGGTTGTCACTATTTAACACTGTGAGTCTAAAAAGATCTTAATGATCAAACATTAAAATGCATATTAGGAGTCTTCTCCTTAGTAGCTTAATAAATGTTAGTTTCTTTCACTTTTCAACTGGATATTCTGAGATCACTGTTAATTCACATATATTGTACAACTAAACTATCTTTCCCCTTTAGAGCTATTCCTGTTCCTAGTTTAATTTCCTGACTTTGTTAATAATCTGTCTGCCAAATTACCTAAATTAGAAACCTTGACATCATTGTTGATTCCTTGCTTTCCTGCTGTCTTCACTTAATCGGAAAGTAAATCTCGCCAATTTAGCATCTTGATGCCTCATCTGTTCTCTTATCTAATGTCAGTAATTGTCCTTTTAGTGGATGTCATAATCTTTCTCCTAGAATATTTTTATGTCCTCTTGACTGTCCTCCTCACCAATTATTCATTCATCACGTGGCCCTCTTGTAGTTTCCTGTGGCTTTTGTAACAAATTATCATAAATTGGTGGCTTAAGACAACAAAAATTTATTTTCTCTCTTTTTGGACAACGAAAGTCTGAAATCAGTATAACTGAGCCAAAAATCAAAGTGTCTGCAGGGCCTCATTCCCCAGAGACTCCTGCAAGAATCTGTTCCTTGCCTCTTCCAGTTTTTGGTGACTGTTAACATTCCTTGACTTGTGACTGTTATGTCAGTGTTGCCTTCATTGTCACATCACCTTCTCCTCTGTTTGTGTCAAATCTCACTCTGTGTCCATCTTACTAGGTTTATAGGGTTGTATTTAGGGCCCGCCCAAATAATGCAGAATAAGCTTCTCATCTCAAAATGCTTAATTTAATGTTACCTGTAAAGTCAAAGAAAATACCATTGACAGGTTCCATAGATTAGTATGTGGATATCTTTAAGGGGCTGGGGACCATTTTCCAGCATCAAAGGTCTCCTGTTAATTACCTCTGGGACTTCATCTCCAACTGCTTTTCTCTTTGCTATGTTAGCTGTCTCTCCTATTCTCAGCAATGTTTCAGCTACACTGTTCTTCTTGTTGCTCCTTGAACACACTAGTGCCTGCCTCAGGGCCTTGTTGGGTGGTGATTCCTCTGCCCAGACTGCTCTTCCCAAGATAACTGCTTGTTCACTCCCTTGGTTCTTTCAGATTTGCTCAGCTGTCACTTTCAGTGAGGCCTTTCTGAAGCACTTTATATAGAATCAAATTTCCAGCCCATGTTTTATATCTGTCTCTCGTTCTGCTTTAAGTTCTTGATAAGACATATTACCCTTTGACATAATATATGTTTTACTCTTATTATTTTGTTTATCTTCCCTCACTCAGATTTTAGTTCCAGGATGGCAGGAGTTTTTGCTTATCTTCTTCCTGTGGTATTCCCATGTCTGGAACTTTGCCTACTGCACAGTAGACACCCAGTAAATATCTGCTAAATGAATGAATCTTCTGTATTGTCTCTGGAGTGATCTTTCTCAAATCCATCTCCTAATTTCTCCCTCTTCTTTAAAGTTGTTAAGGGGTCGATTCTCTTTGCCTGTAGACTGAAGACAGCCTGCTTTAACAAGCCTGTGGGTTTCCTCTGGCCCTGAGCTGCTTTTCTAGCCTCACTTCCTACAGTCTTTTTAGACATGAACTCAGCTTTTAGCTTACCTTAGCTTAGCTTCACCTATACTTAGCTTCTTGCTGTTTCTAATTCCCATCTGTATTCAAATGTCTCCCTCAGATGATGCCTGGAATGTGCTTTCTCCCTATCCACCTGTCCTTCAGTTTCCCTATTCTGTCAAGTCTTTCTCATCTGCCTTTGGCAGAAGTAAGCATTATTTCCAATCTGCTGTCATGACACTTGACACATACCTCTGCTATTGACCTATTGCAATTGTCTTACAATTTATTTTTATTTCCCCAATTACTATTTTAACTCCTTGAGATTAGGTCTTATCCATTCTTTTATTCCCACTTCCCAGCCTAGTGCCTGACACTTAAATCTTAAATGAATTAATGAATAAATTGACTAATAAATTAAACATCTATTAACAGATTGTTCCTTAAATTTCCTTTCCCTGAGTACATGTTACATTTGATAAAAGAAATAATTCTTTGGAAGGAAGAAAAGAAAAATAATTTCTAATGAGAATTTTCATATTTTTATGCTGAGGTATTAATAATTATGCTAATATGAAAAACCCATCAAGGGGTGCTCTTAAACTGTATAGTATAACCATGGTAACTAAGGGAATGTGCTTTACATCCTCACTCTATTTTTTGCAAAATAAAACTGCAGCTAGAAATTTGATATTATATATGTTTAATACATTCATTAGGAATTTTTATGATAAAGTGCACTCAATTTTTAATTGAGAATAATGTGAGAGCAAAGATTACTGAACCCTGTATTCAACACTTAAGTGGCTCAGTGTAAAGCTTAGTTCTGATTTTTTTTAACACTGGATATTATTGCAAAGCATTTTGGTGCTATCAAATAGGAGAGTTGGTATTCTTCAAATTCATGAGAAATCCTTACTGATCACTGGAATGAAATGTGAAGGCTGAATTAGTGTCATGCTTAGAATGAGATTAGCTCATAGTACCCTAGAAAGTTGCCTTATGGTTAAAATCCTATCTTCCAGTATGTTTAAGTGTAAATTGGTTCCTGTTTATTTTTATTTATAATTCATTAACAGTACATGAGAATTCCCTGGTTGGAGAAATTGTCAAACATTTTTTATGATTAGATTACAAATTTTTCATGGTCCTAAGTATTAAGAATGGGTATTTCTGAGTTACATTTAACATTTGATACTTTCTGACTAAATCTTATCATCAACTCCTGTCTTTCTCATACCTAGTCACCAAATCTTTGAAACATTTGTTACGTTCTTTCTGTCTATACTTGTTACTATAGGACCTTATCTTTTTATAGGCAGATTATTGAAATAGCTTTCTTTTTCCTGTCTCAGTTCTCTTTGTCCTTCAGCTATATTACATACTGCTGCTGATTTAAACTAGAAATAGGCCAGTAATAATTCTAAAATCATGTTACTACTTTACACATAACAAGGTTCTATTGCCTTTAGGAATAAGGTCAAACTCCTCAGAGTGTCATTCACAGGTCCTTGTAATTTGAGAGCTAGCCTTCCAGCAGGTCCCTCCAGTAAAGCTGGACTGGTTTCCTTGTGTTCTACATGCCTTTGATCCTAGCATTTCTCCTGCCCACTTAAACATTTTAGGCCCCTGTAGCAGTTGTAACTGCTCCACTTATTTTAGCAATTATATGCTATTTTGAATTGTAATTTATGGCTTCTTACATTTAAATATTAAGGATGGATCAAATGTTTGCTTATAAATGAGTTCTTTGAAATTTAGAATGTGTTTTTTTTTAACAGAGAAAAGGATATGTGGTGGTCATTCTCCCAACCTTGTTCCCAAAGGAAATATAATATTAATGTCTTAGCTGAATTACAATACTAATAACACAGACCAACATCTCATGAAGATGTGAAATACACAAAGAAGAGAAATCAATTCATTTTTATCTTCTGTGGGATATACAGAAATGACCTAGGAAAACCTTGAAACAAGCAAATGTGTAATATGTCTTTGGCATTCTTTGTTAATCCATTCAGAAGCCTTTGTTAATTTCATAGTCTCCTTTTCCACTTCCTTGGGTGCTCAGGGCCACTTTACTGCCCTTGTCACCCTCTGTGACATTACACTAACCCGTTCTGCACTCCCAAAGTTCCAGTTCCTTCAAAAGTGCTTCTCTCTTCTGGTTTTCAATGAAAATCACTGCCTCCTAAATGTTGCTGATCTAAGTTAGAAATTAGACCAGTAATAACCTGATTCCTTAAATATATGCTACCATGTAGGTCCTATCCTCTTCCTTTGTTAGGTTTTTTTTTTTTCATTTTAAAGATACTAAGTGTTTTAATAAAAATGGCTGTCATTTGTTGAATACCCATATGTGTCTGACTTGTTCTAAGTGCTTTGGAATAATTTTATAATTTAATCTTCATGTCAACTTTAGGGTAAGGGCATTATTATTACCATTTCAGAGGTGAGGAAACTGAGTAATTTGGAAAAGTTGAGTAATTTGCCAAGGTCACACAGCTAATAAATGGGAGCCTAATTTATCAGATATCAAAGTCTATAAACTTTACCATTATGTTATGCTGCCTGCCAAAATAATTTCAAGTTCAAGTCAACCTATATTTATTGAATGCTTATTATGATCTGAGTTCTATATCAGCAACTCTATTAGTGGTATTTGGAGAAGTTTAAGAAAGCAAAGTAAAATTATTCTGACAATATAAGAGAAGGATTTTAAACAGCAAGTTGCAGTCCAAGTGACAAACTGGTTGACACCTCTGTGGTCAGCAGCCTACTTTTTTTTTTTCTCAATTTCAGAAACCACAGATTTGCTTAAAACTCTAAGCATGTTCAGGATATCTTAGTAGGTCAACTTTGTGTAAGCAGAAAAAAATGAATGGTTACTTGTACATATGGACTATTTGTATGACAGGTGTGATGTATTGTGTAACATCCTTTCTCCATTCACTCCCCCACCCCTTCAATTTAGCACAATTACAATAATTAAATTTAACTGATACATGCTTTTTACAGACTTTTAAAAACTATCTTCCAGAATGATTTAAGTGTAAATTGGTTTCTGTTTATTTTTATTTATAATTCATTAAAAGTACATACTTATTTTAAGTTTGGCCTTGTCCTTCAGGAATAATGAATTCTGCTATGATACCCATCTAAAGGGACTTTAGCAAGTTGAAACAAGACTCTTAACAGGCTATCTTTGCCTTTCGATAGGCACAATCATTAGCAGCATCACTTTCTACCAGACAACTGTTGCGGATTTCTCACCGTCTGTCACAGTATCCTAATGAAAATCTTCACAGTACTGTCACTAAAGCCTGCCTTTCCAGGTAACCATATTTTCTTCCTCACTGAATTCAAATCTCTGCTAAAACTCTAACATAAGTTAATTGATAGTCTATGTTCACAGGTCTACAGAAAGTGTTGGTCTGAATATATAGCTCTTTCAGTTATTAGAACTTATTTAGTATATTATTTTGGCATAACAACAATTTTAAGAGGTATGTTGTACAGAGGAAAACTGTTTCAGTCACTTGCTCAGGTCCCATAGTAGTAAATAGTGGGCTTGGAATTTGAATGCTTGTCCATGTGTCTTCTGTGCAAGGGCTCAGAATCCATTATTACACATCTCCTCTCAAAATTGCACTGAAACGTTCCATGATTGATGGTACTGCCTGATTTCTAAACTTCACAGAACTAACATCTTTTCAGTCTATACCATCATCATACCCATTGGGAATCGATTATAAAACATGGCTTATAGAATTTTCTTACAGAAACACATTTGCACGAAACTATTTTAAAAGGATAATAAGAAAAGATTAAGAATAATCTCTGATACACCCAGAGATTTCTTTTAGACTCTATTCATATGATATATTAATTATTTTTATGTTATGTTTTTGTCCATTTATTCTTTGATTAGAGGAATTAAAAGAGAACCTATTTTCAGTTTAGGAGAATCTGTGTTACCCTCTGTAGCACTTCAGTTTGTGGACAAGTTTTCTTGTAGTTAAATTGATCTACTTGTGTTGTTAAAATGAGACTCCACTCTAGTATCTTTAGGTAATTCTTTGAAAAACTAATAATTATGAAAAATAACATAATTGATTTCCTTATTCTTTTAAGTTGAAGAATATTAGACTTCCAAATGAAAATTAGGGAAAAATGCTTCAATTGCTTATTTTTTAGTTATGAACTGAAGGAGATATAGGCAGAGAGATAGCCTCATTACTTATACAATATTTTGTTTTAAGACTTTGTTGTAGACATCAGATCACAGAAGTAAATAGAGAATGCTAAGCAACGTAAATGTTCTGGAGCATAATGGAAAAAAAGACTTAAAATATTAGAATATAACAATCATACCCAAAACATTCTACAGATTATTAGATATGCCCTGGTAATTGAATCAACTGTCAATTTCCTTTATTTATAAAATGCAAATAAAAATAAATGAAATGATGAGAAATGATTTAAGACATAAACGAGTGATTGAAGCTAGGAGAAACCTAAAGTGGCTGAGAATACTTAATGTTGGTTGATTACCAATTCATTCACAGTCTACACAGAAAATGTGAGACCATTTTAAATATAGGTCAGAAATAATTAAGAAATAAGTTTCTGTCAGATGTTTTATCATCATCTCCCTTAGATAGATATTTAAGACAGTATTGAAAAGAAGTAATTTTGGAGTAATTCTATACTTCCTCTACTACTTGTAGTAGAAGACTTAATGGATCTCTTCTAAATGCAAATATTTTAAAAATATTAAAGCTAAAAACTATAGAAAAGTCAATGACATATGTAAACAAGACAGACTGAGATAGATATCTTCCTCCATATATTCTCCCAACCTAGAAAAAAAAAATGAAAACATAGTGTATATTCTTATCTAAACTTGAAAGGAAGAGAATATCGCAGATACCAGAAATGAAGTAGGACTAGTGTTACCATAGGACCCAGCAATTCCACTCCTAGGAATCTATCCAAGAGAAATAAAAACATGTTTGCATAAAAATGTGTATATGAATTCATAGCAGTGTTATTCATAAAGGCTAAAAAGTGAAAACAATTAAAATGCTGAATAAATAAATAGAATGTGGCTTAGCCATACAATTTAATATTATTCAGCAATAGAAATAAATGAAGTATTGCTATATGTTACAATGTGGATGGACCTTAAAAATATAATTCTAAGTGAAAGAAACCAGACACAAAGGACTGCATATTGTATATGAATCTGTTTATATGAAACGTCTAGAATAGGGCAAATCCATAGATATAGTGAATAGGTTGGTGGTTGCCTAAAGTCAGGGAGACTGGGGAGTGGGAAATGGAGAGTGACTGCTAGTTAGGTACAGGGTTTTTTTACTTGAGTAAGAAAAATGTCCTAAAATTGATTGTGGTGATGGTTGCACAACTCTGTGAATATACTAAAAACCATTGAATTGTATGCTTTAAATAGGGGAATTGTATGGTATGTGAATTATATCTCAGTAGAGCTCTATACAGGTAAAGTTTGGGCCTCCCTTTGGTCCCCACTTTGCCTAGTTTGAGATCAGATACCCTTATTGATGTTGTGTCTCCCTTCCCCACCTCGGCAGTATCCCGCTACTGCTAATCCCTTTCTTATAGTATTACAGTCAATGTTTGGGGTCTGCTTATGAGTGAGAACATGTGGTGCTCTGTTCTTTGTTTCTGTGACAAGTTGATGAGTATGATAGACTCTAATAAATCCATCAAAGTTGCTATGAAGTCCGTATATTTGTCCTTCTTTATGGCTGCATGGCATTCCATTGTGTGTATGTACCACATTTTTTAAATACAGTCCAGTTTCAATGGGCAGCACAGTTGGTTTCATGTTTTTGCTATTGTGAATAGTGCTGCAATAAACATGTGTATGCATGTATCTTTTTTGTAGAATGGTTTGAGTTCCTCTGAGTATATTCCCAGTACGCAGATTGTTGGGTCATATGGAATGTCAATATCCAGTTCTTTTAGAAATTGCCACACTGTTTTCCAAAGAGGTTGCACTAGTTTGCATTCCCACCAGCAGTGTAGAAGCATTCCTTTATCTTCGTATCCTTGCCAGCATCTGTTGTTGTTTGTTTTATTAATGATGGCCATTCTTACTGGGGTTAGGTGGTATCTCAATGTGGTTTTGATTTGCATTTCTCTGATCATTAGTGAGGCTGAACCCTTTTTCATGTGTCTGTTGGCTGCCTGTATGTCTTCTTTTGAGAAATGTATATTCATATATTTGCCCACTTTTTAATGGGGCTGTTTGTTTTTTTCTTTTTGGCAGATATGAGTTCCTTGTAGATCCTGGATGTTAGACCTTTGTCAGATATACATCTGTCAAATATTTTTTCCCACTCTGTGGGCTGTCTCCCTGCTCTCTTGATGGGTTCTTTTGCCTTGCAGAAGCTTTTCAGTTTGATGAGGTCCCATTTGTCTAACTTATCTCTGATGGCACGGGCACTTGGGGTATTGATCGGGCATTGGTTGCCAGTTCCAATTTCCATAAGGGTGACTCCTGAATATTCTAAGGTTCTTATAGTTTGAGGTTTTACATTTAGGTTTTTTATCTATTTAGAATTGATTTTTGTGTATAAGTAGGGGTCCTGTTTCAATATTCTACATGTTGTCAGCCAGTTTTCCCAATACCATTTACTGAATAGGTTCTCCTCTCCTCAGAGATTGTTGGTGGAAGCTTTGTTGAAGATGAGTTGGTTGAAAAATTACAGTTTTGCTTCTGGAATCTCTGTCCTGTTCCATTGGTTCCATATGCTTGTTCTTGTACCAATACCAGGTTGTTTTGATTATTGTAGCCATATAGTAAAGTTAAAAGTCTGGAAGTGTGATACCTCCCATTTTGTTTCCTTTGCTGAGCATTGTTTTGGCTATTCATGGTTGTTTATGTTTTCTTTTTTTTTTTTTTTTTGAGTTGGAGTCTCACTCTGTTGCCTAGACTGGAGTGCAGTGGCCGCTCCCGGCCACTGCAGCCTCGACCTGCTGGGCTCCGGCGATCCTTCCACCTCAGCCTTCCAAGTAGCTGGAACTACAGGCACGCGCTACCACTCCCGGTTGATTTTTTTATTTTATTGTAGAGATGAGGTCTCGCCTACCCGGGCGGGTCTCAAACCCGCGGGTTCAGGCAATCCACTGACCTCAGCCTCCCAAAGGCGCAGGATTACAGGCTGAGCCACTGAGCCCAGCGGTTGTTTTATGTTTTCATATGAATTTCTGTATTGTCATTTCCAGGTCTGAGAAGAATGATGCTTGTATTGTGTTGTATCTGTAGACTGCTTTTGATAGGATGGGCATCTTACCAATGTTGAGTCTTCCTATTCATGAGCATGGAATATTTTCCCATTTGTTTGTGTCTTCTTGGATTTCTTTGAGCAGTGTTTTGTAGTTTTATCGTAAAGGACTTTCACTTCTCTAGAGAAGATGTCGAGGAATTCCTTGTGTGTGTTGTGAATGGGATTGTGCTTTTTATTTGGATCTCTGGCTGCTTGTTATTGGTGTATAAGAATGCAGATATCTTTTGCCCATTGATTTTGTACCCTGAGGCTTTGCTAAAGTCCTTTATCAGTGCAGGTTTTGACAGATTCCCTTGGGTTTTCAAGGTATAGGATCATATTGTCAGCAAAGAGGGATTTGAACTTCCTCTTTTCCTGTTTGGATACCCCTCATTTCCTTCTCTTGTCTGGTTGCTCTAGCTTGGATGTCCAACACAATGTTGAACAAGAAAGGTGAGAGTGGGCGGCTTTGTCTTGTTCCAGTTTTCAGGGGAAATGCTTTTAGTTTCTGTCCATTTAACAATATGCTGGCTGTGGGTTTTACATAGATGGTACTTACTATTTTGAAGTATGTTCCTTCTATGCCTAGGAGCTTGAAGGGTTTTAATCTAGAAAGCATGCTGGATTTTATCAAAAGCTTTTTCTGTATCAAATGATATAATCATGTGGTTCTTGTTTTTACACCTGTTGATGTATTTAATTACATTTATGGTCTTGTGGATGTTGAACTAGACCTGCATCATGGGGATGAAGCTGACTTGGTCATGGTGGATGATTTTTTATATGTGTTATTGGATCTGATTTGCTAGGGTCTTGTTGAGAATTTTGCATCTATGTTCATTAGGAATATTGACCTGTAGCTCTCTTTTTTGTTGGATCTTTGCCCAGTTTGGGTTTCAATGGGATGTTAGCCTTATAAAATGATTTGGGGAGAATTTCATCTTACTCAATTGCCTGGAATCCTTTCAATAGGATTGATATCAGTTCCACCTTGTACATTTTGTGTAATTCCCCTGGAAAGC